GTTTTATGCCGTCAAAGCAACCGAGTGATTTCATCCACCTTAGAGTGTTCTGGAGTGGAAAACCCCTCCTGCGTGGATTACGAACACGACAGCAGGACGCGGCATGTCTGCAGCAATTCACTCTTTGTCTAGAAAGAGAGAGATTTCTAACAACGGTGGAATAAGATAATTCTGAACTCCTCGCTAAAACTTGGCGTATTTTATCACATACTGCTTGGCCTGTAGTGAAGTCCTGCTTGTGTGCAAACCTTTGAAGAGCATCGCCAGACTAAGGTGATTTTAAGAACAATTGTCAGCAGCATTATCTGCGGTCTCTCCTAAAGTGATAGGGGAGCTCACGCAGGAGGTGGCAGGTATTTCTGCAGATCTTTTCTAGCCTTGCAGTGAAATAAGAATTAAAATAATAATTATCATAAGAACTACCTGGCTCTGCAAGAATTACTTTCCTTGGGAAATTGTGAGAAAAAGAAAAGAACCATTCTCGCTATGAAATGAAATCTTTGAGACAGTGATTTCTTACTGGAAAAGTACAATGTGATGATGTTATGTATTTTGGTCATGGCAAGCTTCAAAATTATTTTTTTTAACCAACACATTTTCACATAAAAACAGCAAAAGGGTAGGGAAAAAAAATCACTCCTTATTCAGTATATTGCAGCGGCTTTCTCAAGTAGCTATTGGGTGTTTGGGTAACAGACCCATGGGCTGTATTTCAAAAAAAAAAAAAAAAAAAAAGTAGTGAAATGGAGCAGGATTCCTCTGCGATGCAGAACTGCACCACGTGCCCGGTGGGCACAGGAACCGCAGCTCTGCCGAAGGAGACGGGGAGCCAAGGGAGAGGTCCGAGGAGGGCCAAACATTTTTAGTAAAAAATGTTTGACTCTCTCTCAGCTCATTTAAAAATATGTCACCTTTTCATTGCAGTCCAACCATTTAAAAATGCTTCTGCTGGGAGAAGGTGAAGCGGTGATTCTTTACGAGATGCTCATGCGGCAGGAATCTCACAGAGCAGCACCGAAAGCGTTGCACGGTGGCTGCCGGGGTATGGCTGTGGTTTGACAGGTTGCCAGCACTGGGTAGTTTGGTTCATACAGGATTAGGTAAATGAAAACAAGTATGACTTGTGGTGGCGTGGGCAGCGCGGCAAGGTCTCGGCTGGGACCTCGGTAGGAAAATAATCACCCGTGCAAGAGCTGACCGATTTTTACCACTGGGCGCTAAGCAGCTACCCTGGGTCTCTGCGATCACGTTAGGAGAAGGCAGACGGGTCTCACCTGCAGGTGTGCGTGGCTTCAAAATAATAAGTTTAAGCAGCATATTTCTCTGGTGTTCCCCATGCACCCCAAACCCTGGGCACTGCCGCGAGAGATACCCCGACAGCATCCCTGTGACGGTGCCTGCAGCCTGCCTGGGAAACTGCCTTCCCCCCATCCCCTCCCTGCCTGGCCAAAACGAGATGTCATTTTACCATAAACTTGTTTTTTCCCCCACCAATGTTTCACAAAACCTCTAACAGATAAATCCTGAAAGGGCATACTGAAGACAAAATTAATTTAACTGAAATACCGCATAACAGCGCTAACATCTTTAAGTCCAGCCTGCGTCGGGAGGCGCGCACAGTTGTGTAACTTCCTCGGTACAAGATCGCGCTTGTGTGACAAAGCTTTTGCGAGCGAAGCCACACACGTACGCACTGAGAACTCACGCCAGCTGGGCAGGAACAGGAGTTTAATGGACAGTGGCCTTACAGTAAAAATAAGAAGCAGCTTTATAACAAGGGAGTGATATTTGAGAACAAATGCAAACACCAAATGAAAAGCTTATTATTTGGTAGTGTTTCATACTGTTGAGCCATTTCATAGTTATTAAGAAATATTGTTAAAGTAGAAAATCGGTCTGAAACATCCCCCGTGAGGAGCACCGTCAGCTAGCTGAGAAACATGAATATTTGCAACAAACAGAAGAAGAAAAGTTGCAAAACAAAGAGTTCCTGCTCCTAACATCTAAAGACCCAAGTCTGCAGGTGTCTGTGGGGAAAACCACTCCTGCTCCCTCAGCAGGCGCCTTGACCCTGCAGGTGTGGGCTGCTGGCACCTCCCGGGGACCCCAGAGGAAAACCCCTTGGGGGAGAGGTGGCTGAGGGCACAGTCTGAAGGGAGAGCTCCGTGGAAGTAACCAAGCTAAAGCCTTTCTCTGCATGCATCACACCTATTTATTATTTGAACGCCTCCTTTGTTTATCCTTTTTTTCACTCAGACTGAGCACTGCGGAGTTAAGGGGTGCCAGTGCTGGGCGATGCTGGAGGGCTGAGCCCCATTTCAGCCTCAGCCTGACTTGGCAAAAGACCTGCTGGCCCACAGGCTCAGAAAGAGCGCGCTGATGCTTCGCTCTAGAGACGCAGGTGACTTACACGCAACCGAATCGCTGCCTTTTCGACTCCCTGCTGACGTAGCTGCTCTCTGCTAGCGGGCAGGGAGTACCAAACAGATGCACTCCCTGAAAATATACAGTTTTACCCGGCTAAAAGCAGAGGTGAAGCCTGCAGAATTTGAGTTCTCGGAATGCCACGGGGCACCGTGTCTCCCGTGCCCTCTCCGGAGCCAGAAGCTCTCACCGCTACTACAGAAGCCAGAATCGGGGATGAACATCCCTATATATGCCCCTATTTGGTGCTCTAAACTTAAGTCTTATACATCCCAAGCTGCTGCTCATAATCTTTTTTCTGCTGACATCTCCTCAAAGCCAGGTGGAAAGAAGACCAGGCTCCTGCATTTCTGACTGAGCAATGCAACTGGGCTGTTCCCCCTCCTCGCGTGGGGTACCACGCTCCTACGGCGTGTGCGAAGACAAATACCTGACAAAACAAGCATCCCCGGGCACTCTGCCTCTCTGCTCAGACACTAGCAGGGCAGGAAAACTAAAGCATCAACGCGGAGCAGCATCTCCTCTCAAAGGTCGTGCTGGGAGGGAAAGTGCAGACACGCCGTTCAAGGCTCCTGAGCAAATGCCTAGTGAACTACAACACTACGCAAAAAATTGGCAAAAGCAGTATGCAAAAAACCTGCCCCAAACTGCTGGGTTTGGTCCCGGTGTGGCGGGCTGGGAATAGCTGTTTTATGTCACCTGCCGGTGGCTGGAGGGGGACCGTGTCCCCGCGGGGCTGCGAGCGTGCCGGCACACCGACCTCAGGTCTGCCGGCCAGTTCGCCCAGGAAAGGGTGCAGGACTTTCTCCTCTCTCTACCCAGGCCATGGGGGCTGCAGCCCAGCACCAACCTGCACCCAGAAAATATGACCTCCGTTTTGTGGGACAGCACAAATGGGACAAGCTTGGGAGCTTTGGGTTATGGGTTTTTTTGTTTAAAAAGCATTTAAAAACCCAATGCTAATGTAAACACCTTGTCTTTCAAATGAAATATAAAGTAAAATATCTATGTTCTGGTAATATTTACATTATAAAATCCTTATTTTCAGGACTATGACATAGATCTCTTTTGGAAGCATGAGTTTATAACAATTGTACACAGCATGAACCAATTATGCAAAAACTGATTCTTAGATTTTTGCCCTATATTCCTATGTCAGAAAGGGGTAGGTTACACAGTTTATACATATTTCCATTTCAGGGGAAAAATTATTAACCGAATTGAACACTCCATCCAAGTGTACTTTCAAAAGATGTATGACTTTGCATAACTGAATTGTGCTTTCTCTTCTGTGTTGATACCTTTTGTGAGCACGCACGCAACTCAACGACCCTATCGTACATATCTCAGTCTGGGAGTCATCACAGAACTGAAATATCTCCAGATTTTCTTACTTTCTTTTAAGCTGGGCATGGATTTCTGTTTTCTTATGTCACTCCAAACTGCTCTGTGAGCAAGCGCTTCCCAACACGCACACTCTAAGTTTTCCAACGCAAATGCACAAGCCTAATCCTGGCAACATTTGTGACTGTAAAATTAGCACTATTTGTCATCTCACTCGTTTCTACGGTTCCCAGCACCCCATTCAGCGGATGCTCCTATGCTTCTCTGTGCATCCGAACAGCAGCTGCATTTAATTTCAAAAAGATCCCTTCTTTTTTCCCCATATCACCAAATTCTCCCATTAAAGCAAGCTTTCCATCTTGGCAGATGCTGCAGCATTAATACCGTGAACACTATCACCGTCTTGCCAGCAGCAGGCCGAGACTAACGTCAACCAGAACTCAAACGCCGCACGCCGCGCCGGTGATGCACAGAGATGAGCAGTGCGCAGCGCAGGAGCCCAGCTCCGAGCCCGTGTCGGCTCAGGGAAAACACAGAGGGACAATTTTCCCCCCACAGCCTCCAGTTTAGCACCTCTGTGTGTTTTCCTTTCTCCACGAGGTAGCTGCTCCTGATGCGCTTGTTTTCCAGTGTCTGTACATATCTACTTTCCTGCCTAAGGGGTAAAATGGAAAGGCATGGGGGGGGCCTGCATGTCTTTAAAGCATTTTCTAAACCCGTGGGGCTTTCAAAAATGGGGAAAAAAACCCGCAGAAGCAGCACGCAAAGGAATGTAGAAATGCAACTGAAAATCTGGAGACTGCTGGGAAAAATGTATCTTTAAAAATGGCCATAACATATCCAGACAGTGCTGTAAGCTCAGATTTACTACCCAGCCTCTTTGCCTGCTTATTTCCTTATCCATATCTCTGCAAAAGGTAAGGACACGGGACAAAGAGAAGGGCTCATCGCCTATCCACGCACTGCTGGGACTCCTGACGGTTAAGCTGCGGCTCTAAGAGAACACAGGCATGTTCACGGAGGTTTTTTCTAATGGAAATTTGAAGTGGAAGTGACATTTTTTTCCTGCATTTTGCTGGGAGACTGTATTAGGAACCTCCACGTTTACAGCAGTATTTTTCTGGAGTTAAACCAGCTAAACCTGAAGATAGAGCTTTTTCATTCGTCACTGTGAGACATACTAAGGACTGAAGAAAAAGTAAATCAGCATGTCTGTTCTACTTAACTCACTTTTTATGAGGCACCCCCTTCATAACAGCTATCAGTATTGTATTTAAATTGTATATATTGACAAAATGTAATCTACCTCTGTAAGCATTGTGCCATTCAACAGTACTACTATTAAATTTATATACCACAGTTTAAATTACACCCATTTCATGAATGGTAAAATGCTAAAACTCAAGTGTCTAACTGCCAAAATACAGCCTTACTGGAATGAGTACAATTTACAAATACAATAATTACATTTTAAAACCATTAACAATGTTACATCTAGAAGTAAATGCTGTAGGACTGGTCAAGACGGTGTTTTCCAAGGAAAAAAAAACGCTGAAAGTTGTCAACACTTCCAACAGAAATGTCCCAAGTGCGGGATTTAGTTCATTTTCCTTAAACTGTAATTAAAACCCGTTCCACGCACAGCAGTCCTTGGGTATTTTCCATATTATTTTCCATAGACTTGCATAAGCTTCCATCAGTTATCGGCCAAGTATTTACCTAGAAACGGGATCAGAAATCAGCTGCAGGGAGGGAGCAGCCCC